TCTGAGGTCTTCCTCTTGTCCTCCTGCCTGGCTGCTCCATATCTAACATCTTTTGTCCTGCATTTTCAGTTTCTGTCCTCTGTACACGTTCAAACGCTCTGATATACTAATTTCTAATCATGCCCATCCTGGTCACTCCTAATGAAAAGCTTCAGCTCTACCTTTTGCCAGTGCCCACTGTTATCACACCATACATCATCACAGCTTTTACTACATTCCTAATTCCTCCTCTAATTCTTCTGTCACAAACCACCCTTTACAATCGTCTCCACTCCTCTCTGTTGTGCACTGCACATTACTTTGGATGACTGATTACAGGTATTTAAACTTATCTACCTTCTCCATTTCTACTGCTTGCATGTTCACCTTCTCTCTCTCTGACTGATGTTCAGTCCTCATCTCTCCCACGCTTACCTCCACCTGTCCACACTCTGTTCCACCTGCTCTCACTACAGATCATAACATCATCTGCAAACATCATCGTCCACAGAGACTCCTGCATGAACATCACAATCACAATCAAAAGGGGCTCACAGTAAAGAGTGCGGATGCCACCCCCAGCTTAAACCCATCCGTCACTCCTACCACACACCTCACCACTGCTGCCTCATACATCTGTCAATAGTTTTAATGAAGCTGGGAAACAACCAGAACTAAAACTCAGCTTTTATTTTTGGGTTTTGTGGATTAAACTGAGAACACATGTTAGACCTTTTTCTTTTCCACACTTTCAAATGTACCAACAAACAGAAGGCATTATTTATGTGGAGCGTGCTACTAGAGTGATGGTGTTTGGCTGGTCCACCATAATGTAATGGCCATGACAACTAAATTATATAATACATAAATGTATGTGCTCAGTAATGTCTCTATAATGATAATAACGTTTTAAGTTTTTCATAACCTCCAGGAACCTGAAATATTTATGATCCGCTAAATACTGTTGACTACAAACATGAACATGTTTCCTAACTTACTAAGATACAATCTACAGTATATCTGTTATTATACCAGATATTGGACTGTATTTATTGATTGAATATACTTCTGTTAATATGTACACATTAGCCTTATTAGTGTAGGAAGCTTTCCTGCTGTTATCCTTCTTTGGTTAAGTGTTATACTAGTTTCAGTACCTCATCAATCATGTGACGTTTGCCTTTTTTAAAATAAACATTTAAAAGGAAGTCACCGCTTCTAAACGAGAGCACAAACTGTGAACCAGTCAAAAGTTTATAACATTTGTCTCGACACTAAACACCCAGAACAAACGTTTTACTGCATCAGTGCAGTGAACCTTTATTTACCGCAGTAGAGACAGGGTTGCAGTCATAGATGCTACTGTTGCTACTGTTCCCAACTTGGAAGTCCACGTGCAGTGAGGCTGAAGTCTGGGAAACAATAATAGAAATATACAGCTGAGAAGTTTACTTAACCCTAAACATAGAACGACTTTGAAACGTGACCACTGCCAAACTACACTGCTCAAAAAATAAAGGGAACACTTGAGTCACACATCAGATCTCAATGAATGAGATTTTTAACTTGAGAATCTGAACTGGTAAAGTACATCATGCAGTTTATTGTGGAAAAATAAGATGTAACGATGGAAATGGAATCAGAGGAAACCAAAGTCATCCTCTGCCTGGAACATGATGAGTATATGAGCTCTGGCAGCGCTCCTCATCACATGACAGTCCTGCTGCAGGGTTAGAGCTGTGCACTCTGAATAGACTGCAGGTACCTTCTTCTCTTACTATGAGCAGTGACATAGAAATAGTTGTTGTTACTCCTCCAGTGCACCTTATGCATCTTTCATTTGCACCTAAGCAGGTGAAATGCATTCACAACAGTTTCTGTTTCCTGATTGGACAGATCAACATCTCTGAAGACTTTGTGCCAGAATCCAGTGATCAAGTATTCCTTTCATTTATTTGAGCAGTGCATATTTAAATACACATTTGTTCTCTTACAGACGCCGTTTCATTTCGTGACTCTTGTTTCTCGAGAATGTCATGTGCGGCGCTCAGCATCACCACATAAGCAAAGTTGTTGCACAAACCGAGGAGCCTGTATAGATGTGGAAAGATAAAAACGAGATACGGAGATGCATCAAAAAATAACAACTTAATCAGCGGCTGCAAAATTTCTCTCAACATAAAACCCCCCAAAATATCGTGCACTCAGTACCGTGCACTTTCAAAACTTTTGCATTAGCAAGCATTTATCAGCTACTCATAGTTTAGTTTTTTGAATTCATTTAAGGATACATTGTTTAAAATAATATTAAAACTTTTTCAACAAAGACCTTTTCACAGTCTTTGTGCTTTTCATGTCGTTAACCTTTGTTCTTTCAAGCTTCTTCAAAGTCTTCCTTTTCCAACCTGCCTTCCACCTTTTTCCTGTCCATCCTTCCAGTTTGCTTCCTCATTATTTTCTAGCTTTCATCTTCTTATAGCTTTGTGTATTTTTCCCTCCCTCCTTTGTTAATTGTTTGTTTTCCAGTAGCAGCTAAAGTGCCTTTTCATTTCACTACCTGCTATGCCACCTTGGGCTTTCCATCTGTCCTTCAGTTTACTTACTAATGTGAATTATCAGTGTGACAGAATTCAATGACAACTTTTCTTTTGTGACTTATTTGTGGCTTTTTGTTTTTACTACAAGGTGATGGTTGAATGGCAATAACGTAAAGAGACAGACCGAGGGAGAGACATGCAGCAAATGCAAAACACAACAGAACTCAGGTCTCTGCAATGAGTACGCAGCAGAGCACGAGTACTCGGTCCCTGGCCTTTCCTCTGCCTTTCTGTCTCCATTTTCCCTTTGCTCCCTTTCTGTCGTACATGCTCGAGACCTTTATTTATATCTGCGTCGCTCTCGTGAACCTTGAGCCGTGAGTAGGTGAGTAAGAGACGTGACATACGACACTGTGCTTCAGATACAGTGATAGATCTGAAGCAAAGACTCGAATGTACAAGAGAGGCTACTGATTATTCTCCTGCTCAGTCCTGATTATCATCTTTGCTTTCCCAGTGCCGACTCAAGTCTGTCGTTTTTCCACATAAAGACCTGACTGCACACACAGTGAATAGCCAATCTTAATGTGCCACCTTGAAGCAATTCCTGAAGTGCATGTGGTCTTAGGAAGGCTTGCTGGAGGAGCTAAATACATAAAAGGGGCGGGGCCCACAGCTGGAAGATCCGATTAATGGTGAGAGGAAGACTACAAATAAGACCGAAAAACATTTCCTCATTTCTGCGTGTGAATAAACATAGCAATGACGTGTATCTATAGGTTCTTATCACATCCCATTAAAGTTTAGGGAGAAATGAGAGATGACGAAGCTGTGGACTTCACTTTCACAGTCAGCACTTTTTATTCGCATAAGAAGTACTTACGAGCGAACAACGTCTTTTACTATAGATACGACACAACATGTATTTAGATGAAATAAGAGGGATCTTTCTTATTGGTGATCTGTTGAAAATATCGGGACACTCACCAAAATCCAATCCAGTTGCGGATTTGTACGCAACGACCTATAAATGAGAGGATAAAGCAAACGTTAGGGACTCACGGAGCAATAATGCTGATAGTTACACGAGTCCGCCGCTGACACACTCACCGGTACCGTCAAGTCGCTGAAGAGGATCTGAGTTGACACTGGCTGGCTGCTCCATGTTTACAAACCAGTCCAAGCTAAATGAAAGAGAAACTGAGTTGGTCTCGAACCGCTGAAAAGCACACAGCTCTCATTCTAACAGGCTCTGAGCTCCCACCAACACTGGCGAGAAGCTGTCACTAAGAACGCCCCGTAACTGCTTTTACGGTCCTCAGCTCAGCAACTTTCACAAACCTCACCGACGAAGCACCAGAGACGGCGCTTCAACCTAAAACCTCCCCGCGGAAACAATATCAGCTCTGAACGTTCCTGATCCGCCTGAGACATTAAGTTTGCTCAAATTCAAATAATGTCAAGAACACAGTTGGATTTTTATTATAATATGTCAAACAGATATTCGTGAGTGATGAAACGTTATTCTTATCAGCAGGTAGAAGCTGCAATCGGCTTGGGAAAAGTGATCGTTATGTTTCTCCTTTTTTTATCTGGTAAAAAAGTCTTTACATCAAAAAGGCCTCCTTCAGAGATCGTAACAAATACAAAATCACAGTAAAGTAAACCAAAAAAAGACTTCTAAAAAGAGGACTGACTATAATATAGGTTCAATAACACATCATAAAGATACTTGCAAAACACTTTATTTTCAGAATCAGAATCAGAATACTTTATTGATCCCTGGGGGAAATTTTTTTTGTTACACTGCTCCATTATAAACAAACATTAACAAGACAGACAAT